GTGTTTTCCGTGTGTTTTCTGTGTGTTTTCTGTGTGTTTTCTGTGTATTTTCTGTGTGTTTTCTGTGTATTTTCTGTGTGTTTTCTGTGTGTTTTCTACATGTATTTTCTATGTGTGTTTTCTATGTGTATTTTCTATGTGTATTTAATATGTATTTTCTGTGTATTTTCTGTGTGTTTTCTGTGTATTTTCTACGTGTATTTTCTATGTGTTTTCTGTGTGTTTTCTACATGTATTTTCTATGTGTATATGGTTTAGAAAGATTTTAAGATTATTTTTAGATTGTACACCTGATTATTTATTCTTCTCATATCTATTGTAGCTTGATTATTCATCCTTACTATTTATTTTACCTGCTGCACAGCACTCTATTTGACGTAATTCTGTGCAGTGTCTGAACCGTCTCAGAGCAGCTGGAGTAACTTTGTGATTCATTAGAGATGTGGACTTTCTCTATGTCTGTGTTTCTGTTTCCTTTGTGTATCTGTTGTGTCTTGATGCCTGCTGACAGACACACACACACACACACACACACACACACACACACACACACACACACACACACACACACACACACACACACACACACACACACACACACACACACACACACACACACACACACACACACACACACACACACACACACACACACACACACACACACACACACACACACACACTGACTCCCTTTCAGTCTTACCTCACATGACTTTGGAGAAAGCGTCTTCCTGGTTTCCCACAGTTCTTTGCACGGTTGAAGGCACTACACATGAAGAAATAAAAATAAAGATTTAAAAATAAAACTTAATATCAACTCTAATAGATAATTGTTTGATTTGTAAAGAAGTAGAATTGTTATAACATGTCTGTTCATTATTAGGCCTCAACCACCGCCAAATTGATTTCCCAAAATGTCCAACACTTTTCAATAGCAAAGGTTTCAAGAAAAAGTTTAAAACAAGGATGAATGGCAAACTGTCAGAAAGGTTTTCACAGTTGCACAGACAGAGGTCTAAGTATTTCAGCAGGTAGGAAACACAAACTCCTAAAGCACACACTCATCTGGTTTGCCACCTCAGTGAACTGGTGAATGATGGCTCTTACAAAATTAAAACCAGACAACATATAAAAACTGCGGTTTCACCTCCAGCCTCCTCCCCCCCCTCCTCACTCCCTCTGACTCCCTCTCTCCGTCTGCTTCCCTCCCTCCGCTCCCCAGTGTGCCTGGCTTCAATCAATTCTACAATTTATTCCATCTCAATGATTCAAAGAGAACAAACAGAATCAACAAAGAGCCGTAAAGTTTTCATTTTTTTTGCACAAATAAATCAACGATTGTTGGATGAGAAGGGTCTCCACCAGAAGCAGTTTGAAAACAGGCTCATTAGCAGACTGATGACAATAACTATTACATGGCTGTGTTAAATACTTTATTCTGATTTGCCAATCGCACAGAGCAACGGTCTGCTATCCCTTGATAGCAGACCGTCATTAAGAAGAACAAACCATTACTAAGAGAACATGATGATAGACGTCTGTTTAATTTGAGGTTGGTTTGTTTACTCTGGGGGAAATGAGAGAGGTGAGGATAACAATGAAAAGACTCAAAAACTGCAACTATAGCCGTTTTCACACATGCACTCTGGATAATATCTAGATATTTACAGGAGGACTTCTCTGGAGATTGTCCCGACCTAGTCGTTCACATATGCTCCTCACAGCGGGGGACTTTCCCTGTCAGAGGGGAGGGGGGGCGGGGGATTTCCTGAGGTAAGACGTGACGTAACTAAACAACGCGGAAGTAACGGCCGAAGCAACAGAGTCCGCTACACGACGCTATAATGAGAATATTTGTCTTTATATCAATGCTATGTGTAATCCAATGGAATGACAACATCCAGAAAAGAGAGGAGAACAACAAACTGACCAACAGAAAACAGAATGCAGACGTTTAATTAGAGCACGGAGATCGTAGAGGTCGCGTGCAGACACTTTAGACAGTCACTGTATATAAACATCATTCTCTTTCTATTGGCTCCAGTTGAAATCTCTGGAGTATATGCTGCAGCGTTCAGACATCAGCTCACTCTGACTTTCTGCAGATAAAATACTAGAGGTCTGGAGGAGAAACTCCGGGTAAAGTCAGTGCGGAAAATGCGTCTGTTTGCGTTCACACATAGCCTAAAGAACCTCCAGGTAGACAAATCTCCAGAGTTTTTCAGGAGATTTCTGTACGTGTGAAAAGGGTTTTAGATAGAGAAATCTACAAAACTGTAGATGGCACATGAGGTAAACACAGAACAGTATGTTGTATGGGAGGAGTTTAAAGATAACATTTTGCAGAGTCATTCATTTAAGAAGTGGGGAAAAAATGCATATTTACATTAATTTATGCCCCAATCCTAATCAAGTCTGTTTTAAGCATTGAACCCTTTTGTTCTGTAGGATTCAGATCGGATGAGAAAGAAATGCAAAGAGAAAGGTGCTGGGTATACATACCATGAATAGTGACAGTATAAAAACTGTAATGCAACATTTTCTGTCCATTAAGATTAAGATTAAGATTTACTTTATTGATCCCCGCAAGGGGAAATTTCTGTTTTTACACTCTGTTAACCATGCAACACACACACATAGGCTGAAACATACACACATGCACAAACAGGAGAGATGGAGCGATGTCAAGGTGACGGAGCTGCACACAGCTCTTAAGACTCTCAACTCTTAAGAGACAAATCGAGAGAACTGGTACATAAAGTGATTGTGCCCTTTCCTGCTGCTCTGTAAGTGAATCATGCATTCCTCCTGGAGCCTGGATATATTGGATACGAGGAGACAGGGAGATAATACAGACACACCCTACACACACACACAGTGTTGTAACCAGATCCTGAAAAGTGATGTGTTTCTTCAAGCAGCTCTCGACCATGTGCTGCTCAGGTTGTCAAAGACTCCCTGAAAACACCTCACACACACACTCAAACACACACAAACCAACACACGGCCCACTTTCTACTCCCCCCGCCTCCTCCTCTGCCGCCACTTTGATCAGTTATGAATCTTGGACTCAATCGGCAATCATCATCAATCATCGCCTGATAGACGATGTAAGCCTCTGGGAACAAAAAGTGAATTTCTCTGTGATTCTGGTGAAGCCAGAGGTTGGTATAAAACGACTTCCAGCTAAGATTTCCTTTAAACGCAGTCGATGCTTTGTCATCCAGGAGAAGTGCCCGTTCACCTGTTGAGTCTCAGTTTAAAACAGTAGAACATAAGCTAAACAGCGGCTTCACTCAAGCTCATGTCGGCAGTATGAGCTCGAAAAAGAAACTACCTTCAATGTGATTTACTTGCAATTAAGTCAAGTTTGCCGTAATAAGATCATGATGCAGATTTGTGTAGAAAGTAAAAAGTCAAGCTTGGTCAGGTCTGTCATCAAGAGGAAAAGAAAAACAACTTTTAAAATGTTTGTTGAATGGAAGTCATTTCTACGTCTGTAAGAGAGATTCATAAATTACAGAATTGTTTATTCCTTTTCTTTAATTCTTCCCCCTCTTCTATCTTTTCTCACGCTCTTGTTGTCTGCTGTTGTCACTTAAACACTTTTCTTCGTCTCCTCCTTGACCTCTACTCCCTGTGCTGCATTTCTCCTGCTTCCTTTTTCCTCACCTCAGTGTTTCTCCTGTTCTCACTCTGTTCTCCCTCACTGGTCCTCCTCTACTCAACGGGTTAGACTTCCACAACCATTTACAGAAAGTCATGAACACTTTGCCAACATAAAAATGGTACATCCTGGTACCTTTGTTGTGGAGTTGTATTTTATAAAAAAAAAAAGCACTGAAACGTATTTTAATGGGCAACATGTAGAATCAGAAAGTCATGTGGAAAAGCAGGCTGCTCTGAAAACCACATATTTCTAATCTTGATTGTTAAAACCACATATTTTTAGCTTGGTTTGCTTTTCACGTTTCATTTCACACCATTAAGCCTCTACTGAGTTAAGTAGCAGAGATGGGAGCTCATTTGATGTAGATGTTGTTGCCTACCTGTGGACAAAGCATCACATTTATCTCCTTGCTGATTTTATCCTCTACATGTGGAAGTTGTTTGTTTGTTTTTTTAAATGAAAGATGTCATCCTGCCTCCTTTAAAAGCCAAACATTTCACTTACAGCAGATCTTTTGCTGTGGGAAATGTTCTAGTAGAAATCTCCTCATCTTACACCTACAGTGATTTCTGACTTTAGATAGAACCATGAAGAAATAATCATCAAGTCACTGATGGTCTTGTTTGCTTTTGTAGGTCATACAGAGGCATCTGTATTAAGTTCAGACTGTTTCTTAACCAGCTAAAAAATCCTCTCAGGAGCTTTAATGTCACCTCAAAGCTTCTATAAATACAGTCAAATATCAAACGTTTCATAGATTTAATTAGATGTTTATCGATGGTCATTTTTCTAATGTCAAAATCTAAAACTTATTTTGACCTCCCGGCTGTAAATGATCTGGGCAAAGCCTAAAAACATGTAGATGTTATTTGCTCAAATTGACCTTAAAAGCAGGACCCTATTTATAATCTGTCCCAAGAGATCACGTTGTACACAGGGGGATTCGGATGTGGACCTTTTGTTTTGTTAAGTGTTAAAAGCTTTGAGTCCTTTTTCCTGTCATTGTCTCTGCATGCTATCTCACTAAAACAGAAATGCCACCAAAAAAAACTGAGCAACAAACACATCAGTCGATTAAACACGAGATATGAATAAAAGTTCACACCTCTATTCTGTATAATTATTATAATTGTATTTTAAGGTATTACCCCCAGCTGAACTAGAATAGAAAACCTGGAACTGTCCTTACATTTTTACACAATTATAACTTTAGTTTAATTGACATGTTTTGGCTTGAATGTCTTTTACATTCAGAAGAAGCAGCGTTCAGGTTCTATGCTCTCTATATCTGGAAGAAACTCCCAGAAAACTGCAGGTCTGCTGAAACTCTCAGCTCTTTAAAATCCAGGTTGAAGACTCACCTGTTTACAGCTGCCTTTCATTAAACAGCTTTAATAAGATTTGAATCTTTAACTCTGCTCTGTAACTTTTCACTATTTTTATATTTTTACTTCATTTATTTCAATTAATTGCATTTGAATTATTTTATTCAAACATATTTTCAGATTTAATAATTTCAGTGATTTTTTTAAAATGTTCTATTTTAATGTTTCTTTTCTTCCCTCTGTCATGATGCTTTTGATGTCTTGTGTGAAGCACTTTGAATTACCTTGTTGTTGAAATGTGCGTCATAAATAAACTTGCCTTTTACTTTCTCTTTGCCAAATTTCTTCTTTTTTTTTTTTAAATTGACAAAACTGACATTTAGACTACAAACAGACTACAACCAGCAAATACATTACAAAACTATACCTAAGAAAAGATAAAGGCCAAATTTCTATTTGGAGTTTTGTTTTATTTTTAAATGATATAGTTATATAGTTATTTTTCTTTCTTTTTATCTATTCTAGCCTGCGGGGTTTGTAAAATGAACTTGATTTTCTAAAGCTAAACTTTTACATGTAACACTTTTATCTGTTTTTCTTATGTGACTAATGTGAATATTTATTTAACACCTAATGGAGAGACATGTGAGAAAGGGGAGAAAGGGGAGAAAGGGGAGATGCAGCAAATGGATTTAAACTGAAAACACTCGCGGTACGCACCTTACACTCTCAAATATCAGTTGGATGTTGTAAATCACGGAGAAGTACTGT